ACTTTTTATGTGAATTTGTGGAATGGTTTCGGGGTTATTTTTTCATCGTTATGGCCTTCCGGAAGAGATTAAATCTCAAATATTTACAGAATCGGGAGAAGTGCACGCACGCCCTTTGTAAATAAAGGTAGAAGGTTATGTTTCGCTAATTTATTAGGACTTTTGTTCGGCAAAATAAAAGCTTGTGTGTGTGCTTGATTCTACTATAGTTCGCAAAATCGTGCTAATAAAGTCACCGACAATGCGCGGATCTGCGTTAAACAAAGAGAATAATGGCCTTAACTCGCAGAAGAATTGCCGAACTGCGGTATTAACTTATCAGTTAATGAGCAGCGATGTCGTACATAACCGATTCTGGGAGAAGAAACACAACTCTTCGCTTTAATAGGTCGTTAAATTAAATCGTCAAAATTCGGCTGTTGTTTGCAGGCCTCTCTATTGCACGGTTATAACCTTGATGTCTTGTTTTTTGCTTATTTGGAGATGTCTAAATGTCTTCGGTTTCATTAGTAATGGCACAAAACATTGAGCAAATTGATACTTTCCCTTTTCTGCCTTCAAACTCTGAAAGCTAAATGATGAGTAAAACTGTAACAAATGCCCCTTTGTTTGTCTCAATGGGGCTATTCTAGGGATAGTCATCTCTACTCCATATTTTACAACATTCAAATCCAAGAAGAAGCGTGCTGAGTCTAATCCGGCTTAACTCCCGAATCGCATTTCACGTCGAATATTTATCCTTCAATTTTATCGCACCCTCTAGCGTACCGGCTTTATAAGAAGTTTAAACGACGATTTTCTGGTACAAGCGTTATGTGTCGTTCACACAGACCGAATTAATTGTAAACTAAGAAACAAACGAGTTCAAAAAAATGTTTAAGGGTGTTGCTACGCCAAAACTATAAGAAATTGTAGGCATTTACCTCCAACTGATGTTTTGTTATATACCGGGTGTCCTAGCGTACTTGTCCCACTCAAATATCTCAATCTATTAATTGTATTAGGTACATATATTAAACATGTCTGAGTTCAAGTTTTATGTTTTAAAATAATTGACATATTTGAGCGGAACAGGTACGCTGAGACACCCGGTATAGGTCTTCTAAAATTTTTCATAATTTTGAAAGAGGACTGGTCAAATAGAATAGTTACAAAACTAAAATCAATTATTTTTTTTTACTTATTTTACTTAAGACAATATTTTTTATTAGCTTTGATGTAGCAACAGACCTAACAAAATAATTTTGTAACGTTCATTTATTATTATCGATAACTACGTTTATCGCGTTTTTCGTTTTTTTTTTTTTTTAATAAAGAGCACACTTTTTGGATCGTTTAATTTTTGTATTTCATCCGGGCAAAAAGTACATTAGTTGCTGTGGGCAACGTTAAAAAAGTATTATTTTAACAAACAAATATTAACGCGAAAATGTTACGTTATTCACGTTGGGTAAAAAATTATTTAAAACATTTCCCAAAAACAAGCAAATATTTTTCAATAAATTTTAACGTTCACGGACATTACTTCGGGGTAAATAAAAAAAAAATGTAAACATCTACATTATTTACATTTAAATTAAATTTTCAGTACATCAACATTTTAGAAATTACAGTATAAAATATAACTTCATTACTTTTGTTATACTTCCATTACATCAGGAGAGGAAATAGTAACTGTTTATTTCTTAAAATCAAAAGAATTTAGGAAAGAAATCATAACTTGCTGCATTTAGAAATGAATACACATACGAGGAAGGTATGCGCCAAGTAGATGCCAACTTTCGCCACTAGAGGGCTGTCTCTGATTGCGGGAAGTTTAATTTTTGAGTTTGAGTTTTATAATTTATTATCGATTTTGAGGTGCCAAATTTTTGAAAACTCTAGTCATTTGTCTTTGTAGCGGGATGTTATTAAAATTGGTTGAAAAGGTTGTGAATTTGTTAAAGGTTATTAGTTACAGTGTATTACGAAATATATTTTGCATATATTATAAAAATACAAAAATAAGATTTATTATATAAAATAATGCCTGTTCAAATCAACGGAGATCATCTGTTAAGGTTTTCGTCACGCTATAAATATTTCCCACGTTATAGAGATTAAATTTATGCATACATTTTTCTCTGACAAGAGAAACTAGTAGCTACCGCTGTGCATGACGTCGTATTGCGGCTTTATTTCTACAATAATGCGTCAATCGAGACGAATTAAAAAAATATCTACGACTAGAGCATTTTTTAATCTATGAAATAATAAAAAAAAAAATCGAAAGATTTCGACACGACTTCCCCGCACTACGAATCGACAAAAATCGCTACCCTTTTTAACACAGACCCCCATAGTTTAAAATAAGACAGCTCCGACCGAGTTATTTTCGTCAGAATGATGAAGAAACAAAGTTCGGCACCCGATATCATGCCGTCGTCCTTAACGCACTGTTTGAAAGACAATTTAGCTTGATGGGGTGCTTCTGACGTCCACTTCCTCCACAATACATCTTGCGTTCGATTAACACCCCAATAATTCCCTCTCAGCACATCTCGGCAATTTTTGGGTTAAGCCCTTACGTGATACTTGGAAAATTATAACACGCCCCGAATATCGGCTCCGAATTGTCGGTTATGAGGCTCCGAGGTGCAGGACGTGCCCTCCCAAATTGCCCCATATCCTCCCTCCGCCCCCGAAATCCGAACGAGACCCGCCACTTTATAGAGAATTTGATCTTGCGGTTGCGGCGTCGGCTGTTCTCGATCGATATAAATGAATTAGCCGTAAAACAACAGCGATTTGTGGTTTAATCTTACACGTATTTAGTGAATTTATGGCCCGTGCACCGCCTACCGCTTACTCGGGCCCTTTTGTCCGCCTAGACCGCACCAAATTCAGTTAGTACAGCCGAGCGAGAAATTTATAACCGGCTCCCGATTACAATACACAGTTAAACGGAAATACGAGATTAAACTGCTTGATTTGGCCGCGTTTTTTCGACGGTCCCTTTCAACTAATCACCGCCAGGACAACCAAGAACAAAGGGACTCGAGGGCCGGGTGGCCGTAAAGGCGATGCTCTAACAGGCAAATTAGGGCACGGCTTCGGGAATTGCGTGTTTTTAAATGTGCGCGGAGGGCTTTCGCTGTTTGCACGATCTTATTGTCGTTGGCGATTTTCGATTGCTTTTTCGATTCGCACTTTTTAATTTTCGAAGAAGAGTATTTTCGCATCGATTACATTGGTTGAAATTTAATGATTTCCTACAAAAAATATTTTTCGACAAATAAAGTTCTGCTTTAAAACAATGGAGGCGTAAATTTTACACCCTCGATGAATGTAGTCTTCTTGGAGAACCGTCGATTATTATTTTATCCTTTTTGAAATATTTTTCGGTGTACTTTAACGGTTCGATAAAAAGATTATACGTAGGACCCGGGGGGCTGCTTATTAGGAATGATGTAAGAACACAAAACGACGATTTAGTATCCGAGCTCTTTTCCCTTGTTCCCCTTATTGTCTGGCTTATGCAGATAAGTAAATTTTTCGATTACCGTGCAAACGCAAATAATTCTAAAGAATCTTGGAATTTGTCCGCACCGTGGGTAAATCATGGCGGCGCTCTGGTAAGTTCCGCTCCGGGTAATTACGCCTAATAAAAATTTATGCGGCCGGTGTAATAAACCAATTTCCGACCGGAAGAAGTGCAGCTTTAGAGAGCAGACCCCTTTCGAAAAGGTTAGATCGGAGGGAGATAATTGTCAGTTAGCTTTATGGTCATGGTCTTCCCGATTTTCCTCCCTCACGAGCTAACTTCCTTCTTATTTACAGTTTCTATTTCGCCACAATCGCATTCCGCCACATTCTGCCGGAATATACGATTTTAAGATTATCCCTAATGGCAAGAGATACAGAATCGGTAATGATATTTCAGCACGGAGAGCTGGAATAAACAAAGTACGTTCCAGCCAGTGTTTCAGCGTTTATGCGCCATCCACTTGCAAAAACGCTTCCATTATCATTACACTTTTTCACTTTTAATCCATTAATTTAATCATGCACTCATACAAACGCTCCATTAAAAGCTCGCGTTAAATTACAATATTTATCAGCGCTGAAAAACGCCGAAAAAGTCCGGAGCAATTTTCTTATTCGATTTAAACTTCGCCTAATACTATTAGCGGGGTTTTTCTTTAACGGCTCGTGACGGTCCACGTCAAAAATTTTCTTCATTAAGCGAGCGCGGGCCGCCTTTTGGTTTCCGACTTGGGTTTTTACGTATTTTTAATTAGTTTTTCTTGTCGAAGTTGGAAATTAAAACGAATGCGGCGACCTTTAGGTGCTTAATGAATTAAATTTAGGAGCTTAGGCGGATGTTTTCGTATTTTTCCTTGACTCGGAATCGTAAATTCGCCCGATGATTTCTTTAGGATGTTGTCAACCAACGGGTCATTTCCCTCCAACAATGTCTTCACTGCTGATGTTTTATGGGACCATGTTTTTTCATAGATGTTTATTTGGCAGACTTTCAGGAAGCCGATATTTCATACATAAAAAAAACACACTGCGTTAAAGCCCTCGAATCAACTAATTAAACGTAATTTCAACTGGAATCAAAAGATACTCACGATTTCAGACAAAACTGGAAGATTTTTTTGGCAAGATAAGTCAAAGAAGCGAAATAATTTTTTAGCAGCCCAATTTTCAAAATAAATGCAATCGTGGCCAAATAAGTATATCTAGCAAAACTTCTCAAAAACCGAACTAGGTAGAAAACAAACTTATGTAGCGATTTTCTTTTTCTTTCCGTTTAAACATCGCAGTTTCACAGAAAAATAAAACAGTCCGCCAACTCATTAAACTTAATTTTTAGGAGCAAATCTCTGGCCCGAACTCGCGTTGATTCGTTAAAACTCCCGAACTATGTACACGAACTTTTAATATCGCAAAGTTCCGCATTACGCGGACTCGAACACCTCCAGTGCAGCGAAGTATGCAAATGCAGAACTTACCCAGGTTCATGAGCTGAGAGCCTTTGTACCACGAGACCGTCGGAATGGGTTTTCCGCCTGGAGCTTTACACGTCAGCACCACCTCGTCTCCTTCGTTTCTCTCCTCCAGCTTGGTCGACTCGTTCACCTGCTGGCCGTTGTAGGTTAAAATGACGTCCGTCGGTTTCACTGCAACAAAAGCTCGAATTACAGGCACCGCTTACAAGTTCGGTTTTAATGAAATAATTGTAATTGTGTTGCTATTTAATTGTCGATTTCCAAACTAATTTCTGCTAGTGACAAGACGGAGTTGGAAGTTCGACTCGCTTTTGAGAGAGGCAAACTTCGCGCACAATAAATTAATTGTCAATATGGTTTGGCCAGATTATGAGCCGAGTTACGTGTAGAGCAAGATTGGATTTGTTGTTAAGAAACTACTAAAATTGGATGTATACCGTGATAGTAGTGAGATTATTAGCAAACAAACGAAAACGATTTAGTATAGGGTAAGGGTGAAGTTTTTTTGAATGCGAAACTTAGCTTTGGATTTATGTAAATCAACATTTTAGACTCTCTGAAGTGAAACAAACCATGCGAAAATCGATATAGACCGCAGTTTTTCAAGCAGAATTTGTAAGTCGTAATGATTTTTATCTACCATCAGATAAACTTGAGGCAATGATGAATAAAGAAATAAAAACCTTTCATCTGATTTTTAGAATTTCTTTTCGTGCACCGGTCTGCTAAATCAAGCCTCAAACAAAAAGAAAAGATAAACTAAAGTATACTAAACTTAAATACTTATTTGTACAAACATAAACTTTTGTCCCCGAGCGGGTGCAGCAACTGTTTTCTAGAATATCCAAATCGGGAGAGAAATCAAGTAGTGTCTCCTGGGGAGATTATACTCAAAGAAAATTCTTAGAGAGTTGTCACTGTCTCTTTTTTTAGAATAGAATTACAAATTCAATAGTAGAATCATATGCACCTGTAGATCATTAATATAAGAAGAAAATGTAGGAATGGACTCAGTACAGATCCCCGCTGTCCACCGTTACGGGTGTAAATGTAGACATGCAAATATTTGAGAATACAATAATTTAAAAAAATGTTTGATAAGAATCTTCATTATAAAAGTCGTACCTCAACACTCAAACACTGCCACGAAAAACTTCTACAGCAGTAGAACAAAAAAGAAGTCAGTGTAATCTTGTTCCCTAATTTGTATTGCTTTCTCCATTTGTCTTGTATTCCTGTTTCGTCAAGAATGATAAATTCTTCAAGTTGTTCGTCTGGTCCACAAGCAGACCAAAATATCGCGCGAGCTCCGATTTAGCCATAATTGATACTTCGAGTAACGACGGGAGTTAAGACAAATATTTGCTGCGTGTTTTACATCAAAGTTAATCAATCATGACCCGGCGCCTCCACCAATCCGTTCGAAGTGTTCTATTAAAACGCAATCTAACGGCGAGCCAGCACAGATCGGAGATCACTTACTGGTCATAAATTACAATCATACGCTAATCGTAAATCTTAATGCCTGTCTACAATGAAGCATAAAATCTTTATTTCGACTCCGTAAACATGATTAGAGGCACGAAACATGTGTTATCGACGACTGGATAACTGCACGCAATTACTACCGAATTCTCCGAAGTGGTGATGCTATCAGAAATTCATATTCGCGCACGCTTCCTGTACGAAATAATTTCGTAAAAAATGATATTACGGTTTCGGAAAAAAAGATTAATTTCCCACAAGACAATAACCGCATTTTGTATACGATAAAAAAACCCCAATTCGTGATACGTTTTCTTTATTATAAGCACATTTTTTGTCGTATTTGTGTCGGCAAATAAACTTTCCGCTCAAATGTCGTATTCCGTTCTCATTTTCTTAAACAAGTTTTTAATATTTCGACATCCGCCCCCGGCTGTTCGTGCCTCACCTCGCCACATCTGATTCGGGGAAAAAACACACACACATTTCTGCCAAATTACGAGCAATAATAAGTACCGCAATCCCTTGTTGGGGAAATTAAATACAGAGACAACATGGAACGGAGTTCTCTTTTTTTTCAATTCTTTTATTTCGTGTATGAATATAAATGGCCCGGGGCTCCCTCATCCGCGAATGCGTTTTTCCCTCCTAACTACATTCACAAAACGCCCATCTTTATTTATAAATCATCTCTTCCACCTCTTTACTGACAATCTGTGTCAATGCGAATCGACTAATCTGTTTCGAATGGAAAGGGGTGGTGTCAGATGGCAGTCACTGCGTTATGACTTAAAAGGATTCGGTTGTTTTATGGGCTTTTCTGTCGAAAAATTGATTTCGAATTATTTATCCTATCGACGGTGAAAGAGCGTCAAGTTATATAACGGGCTTTCAGCGAGAATTTTTTCTCCGATGAAACGCACACAATAATAACAGTTGATTTGCAGCCCCCATTCAAGAAAACTTGACAGGATGTTATAAATGAGCACGTTTCAGTTTAAATCCTTGTCTTTAATTTGTATATAATGCGTGTAACAACTCGCTGGCGCCTTTACATCTTCAAATAATTCACCCACTTCCGAATAATCCCTTTTCACTTTAATAAGCCGCACTATTTATGTGACTCTACTAAAGTCACTCATTCCGGGAATGCCAACTCCCCCCATCCCCGTCATAAACGCAAAGAAAACCATCATTCCGACACGTTGACATCCCTTAAATCAAAAGGATTTACAGCCCAGAAGCGCAACGGTGTCGCGTTTTTAATTAAAACGCCTCCCCGTATTACGGGCTTAGGTGAGTGGATGGAGGCGGCGATCGCGGCATAATTGGATGCCAGACACACGTCCACGACGGCCTGCGAAGCGGACTCTCGATGGCTTCATTTCTCGGCTAAATACCGGGCATCAGAGGGCATTCGCGGCCGTTCCAATTATGCTCCCACCAGGAACACCATGAATCTTCGTTTAATCGCCTGCAGACGGACGCGGGCCGCTGCGCCGCCACCGTCACTTCAGATGCCGCCGCCGCCGGCTTTATTAATAGGTCTCATTTGGTGGCACGTGCGCCCGGAATTATTCCGGCTTGGAAGGGACAGTTCGGATGTGGATCACGGTTAATCGCCGGTTGTACGCGGGGAAATAATTCGGAAAATGGGCAGAATTACACGGCGGGCGGCGGGACATTACGGGGTAATTAGGGGAAAAATTCGTACATGGACGGCAGTCGGGAGGAATTGTGGAGAGGATTAACTTTAACTGCGCGGAATTGACCGCGTCTGATTTAACCCGGAGCGAATTCAACGCTTGGAGGCGGGGGGTGGTAGAATTATTACCATCATCATTATTATTAAATTGTGTCCAGAATTATACCTCTAGTCTTTTGATGCTCATATTTTTTTGTTAAGAAGAACATCTCTTTGAAGTGTTCAGCTTTGAATAATAGTCTCGGCGAATAAAAAAACTACAGCGACAATTATTTGACAGCTCCAAAAAAGCAGCGCAGCCAACATTTTGAAAACAAAACGCTCTCAAAGTAAATAAACAGTATCTGTTGGAGACGTCGGTGTTTGTAGCTTTTTACAAAATGAGTGATGCGCGTTTTACGTCATTTCATTTGCAATGTTGCGGACGTTCCCTTCAAAACAAAACATTTCTAGTTTCATAACTAATTAAACTTGAGTTCTCATCTCGAATTCTGCCACGGGAACGCAATATCTACTAGTCAAAATAAAAGTCCGCTTGCGTCCTTTTCTGTAAATAATGATGTTTCACTAGCGTCTCCCGCTCCTGGCGCTCAATGAGTAAAAACCGCCCTCCGAGCGGATTTCCCGAATCCGGAAAATTGGCTCCTTTCAATGCCATTAATCGGGCCTCGATCGAACAGATCTCGTTTTTCGCCCCGGTCGCGTTTGTTTTGACTAATAATCGAGCGGACAATTCGGATCGTTCTCGTCATCGGGATGTCCATTTGGCATTGTTGGAGGAGCTTTCATTAAGTCGACAAGGACAATCGCTGCGAAAGCACATGTTAAACTGGACCGGAATTCGGTTTATTTAGCCCGAAATTTCGCAACGGGTGACCTGTTTCCGGGAAGTATGAAAAGTTTCCATTTACAGTTTAATGCTTTTGTGGAAACGACGAATATGAAAACACGGATCTACATGTTACGGGGGCGAGTTTATTTTTTGACAGTTAATTCGGATGGAATTTCAGTTTGGACTGGAGTGTGTCAACTACATGATGGAACTAAATGCCGGGAAACAGTTTCCAAATTTCAATAGGGATTCATTAAAAAGAGTAAACAGATTTTGTCGACGGCGGGCAATTTTTTGATGGGAATGGACCACGGGGACGCCGTTTTCATCATTTATTAATTATTTGGTTAACATGTTTGGACAAGTGAAAGCTTTCTCGTGCGGGCGGGCTCTAGACGCGTTATTAGCGAGGATGACAGAACGTGTTTTCATAGCAGATTGATGGCCCAGAAAAATAGGCTTAAAACGAAACTCGTCAGAGAACTTATCGAAGTTTATTGGCAGACTAGGAATTATCACTCAAAACGCATTGTGCTTACGATGAAATTCCAATACCGAGAAACACAACCGATCCCGTAATGTTCCCCTCGGCGTTTTGCTAACCTCGACGCTCGCTAGAATTTTTATTTCACTCGCATAGTTGGTGAAATCCGTAAAATGGACTTGGCGCAATGATTGTCCTTTTAAAAAAATATTGTTACTATTATTTCCGCATGTTATTTTAAGACCGCCGTTCATCCCTCAATCGAATGACGTACGATTTTTGCTCTCCCCAAAAGCCAATAAGCTCATCGCAACATATCCCATTTCCTTTTAAACAGTCGAAAGTTTTTTTAACTCGCCGTCGTTCGATCAAAGAGCTTCCAGCTATTGTGGTAATAAAATACGACATCGTGTCCATGTATTGGCGCAGCGCCAAACTAATCAGATCATCCACTTTCGGCCCCATTTGTTTGCTCTGTACTTCCCCGGCTAAGTACGACGGGTTTTTGTTGACCGTGTCGTGCAGAGCCGGTGTGTACACACGGCGACTGAGAAAGATATATTGGAAAAGGAGAATAAGTGGCTCACGCTGACCTGTCTTTCAGGGGTGCCTCACTCGAGGCACTTGGGGGCTACTGCCGCTTTTGAGGGAGGGCACTTCGCAGG